AAAAACCGGAGGCGGAGGATTAGTTAAAAATTATATGCAACCTCATGGTAACTATTTTTTAATTCATTAAAATTAAATTTGATGTTTACGTTAATATGCTTAAACGTGAATTTTTTTCCTTCGTGCAGGATGGAAGATTGCTTGACCATCAGGTCAAGAGAAACCTCAACTCAGTTTTAACAATACGAAATTAGACATTAATGTGGCTGAACTCATTTGGGAATTATGAACAAGCTAGATTACATCAAAGTTTGGTATTTTATTAATTTTATTTTAATCCCAATTTTTGGTATGTCATATAAATCTTAATAAATTTAGGGTTTTGACTATTCCGAATGTAATACAAGATTCAGGTGAAACGAGATACGAGCTTTTTTCCAACTAAAAAGTAAAGCCATTTGCTGATGACCTATACCAATATTTGGCCCTAGATATTTATGAAATTAATCCACACTTTGGTATGGTTGATGACCAAAAGATGCTCGTTTAGCGAGAAAGACATTACGTAATGCCATATGTTTAATCTACACTTTTGACTATATCAATATTTTTAATTTTGGACCTTTTTTGTTTCCTGATAGAAATCACATGGATCCACAGGATGGAAAACCGAAGTATGTTAAATATGTCATCCATTTAATAAAATTGGATATTTTCACTTTTATTGTTACATTAATAATCCTGAAGAGCAATTGACGAATATTGTAGCCTAGGTGGAGATTTGCCATTGCCCGGTATTTTTTTTTATTTAAAAAACAAATAAAAGAAATTATGTTAAGAAAATACTTTTCATCTTCATTATTGCGTCCAAGTGAGGTGATCTTGACAATGAAAACCCTGTAGTGATTTCTGAAATAAAAAAAAGGATCAAATGATTGATTAAAAGAATTCGATTTCGATGGTAAACGTATCGATGCTGCAAAGCACATTCGACATAGTTTTTTGTGATGCGTTCATTCAAGGTAGGGAAGAACATATTCTGAATCGGGATTTATCAAGGGCATTTAATAGTACTTTATGGTATCCTCTATTCCAAAATTACAACCTTTATATTCTAATCCTGGTACTAATATAAAACAGAAATGCCATAAATGATGATGGAAAATCTTTTAATGATACTAATCTACTAAGTAATGTTATTGATGTCATTATCAACCGGTAAACTCAAGATAAATTATAATTCCTAATGTGTTGACCTTTGACATGCTAATAATCACTATTTTTATACGTCATCGTCGATTAGAAAATGTTTTTTTATATTAATTACTTAGTTTAATAGTATCAACCGAACTAAAATTTACGGGACGCGGAATCCATCACGAAGTAATCCAATTAATTGTGAAACACTTTGTCCGTCTACTTATTCACGATCGTCTCCCTCATACAAGTTCAACGCTAATATCAATACATTCCGTGGAGCATTCTTCTTTCATTATCTTTCAAAGCTTAGATAGATGCTTTTTTTAAAGACAAGGCATTAATATTAACCTTTCTAATTATGGTAATAATCTAAATTTTATTTAGTTATGCAAGATGACCTGTTGGTAACGTTTTAGTTAATGTTGTAAGTTGTGAAGATCTCATAATGTCCTGATTCAAATTGACGGTGAAGGATTTAAAAGTCTTGAATATATCCTTATGGAGTACAGTCCGACGATCTTTTTGAGTGCAGTCATGTCACTTTTTAGCTCAGTCATATGAATTTGGGTTCTGATCATCGGACCACGCAGTCCAGTAACTTGCCTAAAATTATTTGAGTCTGACAATTAGTTTTAACGTCACACAAAGCTTTATTGTTTCAATATCATCATATGATAGACATATTTGTTAAATTATTTTTTCCCATTCACTATATTCACTATAATGAGTGGTTTCGCAGTGAATAAACTTTATATTTTCCGTTCACTATATTCACTATAATGAGTGATTTCGCAATTAATAGACTTTTTTTTTTCTCTTTCACTATATTAAATATAATGAGTGGTTTCGCAGTGAATGATTTTATTATAGTGACGTGTTTTTATAATATTAATTTATTTATAATATAATGAGTAGTTTCGTGGTTGAATGATTTTATTATAATGTCTTGTTATTATAATTAATTTTAATCTTCTATAATGAGTTTAATTTTTACATATATATTATCTTAAATTTCTTTATAAAATTATTTCAAAAAATATTACAAGAATACTGTAAATATGGATAATATCGAAATTATTGACGATAATTCTACCAAATGTTAGTTATTATAATAATTATCATGCTGTAATAACAAATATAAAGACTAACAATAATAAATTTTTAGATTGAAAAAGATTTGGTCATACTTGACAAAGAAGATGAAACAATAAATTTAATGACAGAGAAAATGAGAATTAGTGAGATCAGATATTCTACATTACCAATGGAATATCCACCAACTTCTTTAGAAGGAATTGCCATAGTATATAATATTGAAACTTGGGAAAGTTATTAATCAGCTTTTAATTATGTAAGTATTAAACATTATATTTTAATTTAGAATATTATAAAGAATATTTAATAATTATATATCTTTTTTGTAGATGCAATATCTCAAGGACGTCACTCTGGAGATGGTGATACATCTGTATAGTATCCTTTTCTAGGATGTAATATTAAGAAATATAATCTTACACATCAAGGTGTAAAAGTTTGTGAATACCTTAGAAAGGATCTTAAAGATAAAATTCATACAGAAGTTGACATAGATTATGATTTTATTAAACTCCTAATGAAACATTATTGGACCAGAATTCCAAAGAAGCTAAGACATATATATAAGAATAATTAATTAATATTAATAATCATTATTAATTAAAATAATAATACTGTAATATTTTTCTTTATTAGAAAATACCTTGTTAAAATTGCTATAAATTGTCCATTTGATGATGAAAAATGTAAAGGTCAATTTGTTTCTCAAAAAAAAATCTAAAAAAATAGCTAGTAAAACAGATGTATGGTTTATAGGTTGTAACCGTTGATAGGATAAAAGCAAAGAATGTAATTATTATTTTGAAAGACTTAAAAATGATATTGATCCAATACTTTTAGGAAAATTATTCAATAGTGAAGTTGTAAGTAATTAATTTTATTACTTTTATAATAATTAATAAATATAGATGCTTGCTGAAACCTCCTTAAAATAATTTCATCATACCCTTTTCTATGTTTTTAATATAGTTTTGATAGTTTCAGCTTTCGTTATATTGAATGAGTTTTATCATATCACTTATTATGATTTTAATATAGTTTTGTCTAAGTTTCGACTGTTATTAAAGGGTTTTATCCCTTATCTATATTAATAAATAATATTATTATTACTAATTAATTTAATATTCTAATTTTTTTTATTTAGCCTATACCAATTGAAAATGTAACTTCATGTAATGTTATTCCTTCATCTAATACAAGTAAAAAAATATGTGATAAATAAAGTTTTTTATTAAAAATTATATATTAATAAATTACTATACATTATAATACTTATATAATTTTATTTATATTTATATTAATTTAAGGATTTTTACATCAATATTCTAATAGTACAATTGATCAAGGAAAAATAGTTGAACAAAATTATCAAGTTAAATTTTACAAAATTATACTATTAGATTTGGAAAATCACTATTTGTAATTCTTATATTAAAAGGTTTTCATATGCATTATCCACCTCTACCAAGTAATGTACCTTTAAATATTATAGAAAAATTAAAGAAAATGCTTAAAATACAAAGTGAAGAACTTGTAGATATTACAATTCAAAAACTTATATCAAATATGTAAATCAATTTTTGGTTATTTAGTTCTAGTTAGTAATAAATATTAATAAATTTTAAATTAATTTATTAAAGGTAATTTAATTAAAGCTACATTTGGTAAAGAATTTTTGTCACAAATTTATACCTCATTAAATAATATGGATAAAATTACATAGACTTGTGGCAAAAGTTCAAAAAGCTCATCATCTTTTTGGTCAGGATATTCTTATCCTTATATATAATATATGGAAATGTAATGAAGAATATCTTGGATATATTCAGCAATCAAGTTTACATTATTTTATATTTAAAAAAATTTTGTTATTTGTTTATTTAATTTTTAATTATCAATTTATATTTAGCCACTTATTCAAATAGTCAAATAATAGTTATTTGTATTTCTGAAGTTATGGCTTGTGCTTGGATTAAATTAGAATATTTTGAAATTGATCTTTCATTTAAAAGAGTTTCAAAGTGATATTAATGAGTTTGAAATTAATAGCATAATATGAGTAAGTAATAATTATATTTATTTTAAAATTTCTCAAATGTAAATTTATTTTTTTTAAAGGTTTAACTTATGCTCAAGTTTTTACAAATATTGCTGATGCAATTTCTTATGAAAGAATGTTTAATGCACTTTTTGATTGGATATATCAGTTAACTGGAAGTAATCCACAAATTTTTCATATTCATAAGAAGGTTAGAAATGTATTTTAGGTGATTTAGATCAAGCACAAGCAAAAGGATTAGGAATGGCTTTGCATGAAATCCAAAATACTCTTACCTTTGAAGTGCATTTATTGTATATTTTCAAAAGTTGTCAAATTCATTATGATTTTAAATGCAAGAATAGTTTAATTAAATAATAGGTAAAACTACTATTTATTTTATTTATTATATATTTGATATATATCTATTTTATATTTATTACTTAAAACTTTATTTTATTATAGAAATGTTAAAAATAATAAATATTCATATGATATTAAAGCATTAATGTATGAATTTCCTAATGCGAATAATACTGAAAGAGTTGACCAAATTTTTGAAGAATTGAAAGTATATGATGAGCCAAATATTAAATATATACTTATATTTTTTGATATGTTAATTAAGCAATTATTTAATTAATTACTGTATATATATCTTCATTAATAAAATTCAGATTGGATCATATTCTATTCAAAATCCTGGATGCATGCTTCTCTAAACAAAATGTATTCATTTATGGATCCAGATATTTGGAATAAAGCTCCTGATAACACTAATGTAGCAGAATCATGTCGTGCAAATTCAAACCGTGATGGAAAATCATTATTTTTGCAATCAGCTATTTTAAAGTAAGTTAATAATAAAATTATAAAGTGTAATAGCAATGTACAAATTAATAATTCTTCTTTTTTTATTAGAGCTAAAAA